AGTGCCGGACGCCCGATGCAGGCCGACCATCGAGTGGCTGAAGCTTTTGGGCGTCTCGTCCACTTGGTCCTTTTACACTACTAGGGAAAACTTTATACACAAAAATTTAGCAGCAGCGCGGGTCAAAAAAGGGCGCTAGTGCTAGATAGCAGTAGCGAGTGAGCAAAAACCATGCTACAGATAAAATTGTAGTAGTAGCGCGTGCGGTCGTAAAAGGGCTACTACTAATATTCCCATTGCTAAAATGATAGGCTACGCATAGCAGTAGCGGGCTTGGAAGAAGCGCGCTACCGCTACGAAAGCGCTACTACTAATGGAAATAAAATAAAATGAAAAAAAATAGAAAAGTAAATGAAAATGAAAGAAATAGAAAAATGAGAAAGGAAAAAATAAAATGTAAAGCAAAATAAATGAAAAAGCGAAAAAAGGAGAAAGGCATAGCAGTAGCGTCTGTTCGTAAGAGGTGCTATAGGTAATGTAGCTGCAGCGCGTTTCCTAGACCCACGCTGTAGAAACAGAATAGGAAATAAGAAAATGAAAGAAAATTACATAACTATAGCAGTGGGGCGTTTTGCGAAACGTGCTACCGCTAAGTTTGACTTAACCAAAAAACCGTTTCCCCCCGGCCACCACTTCTCCCCCAAATCCCTCGACCCACCCCGCCGCTGTCTCCCCGATTCGCCGTCGCCCCACTTCGCCGTCGTCTCCTGCCGACGTCGACGCCCCCGGAGCCACCAGAGCCGCGCGTCGTCGACGCCACCGGAGCCGCCCCCAACGCCACGGAGCCGTGCGGCCTCATCAACGCCACCGGAGCCGCCGTCGACGCCACCGGATCCTCCCTCGCCATAACTGCCTCCCTCGCTGTAACGCCCCAGATTCGATGCGCCAGGTGTCTTTCAGTTATTCACCGTCGTTGCCATGTCATTTGCTTGCGTGTTGCATTTTGCCATGTCATCATCTGCATTTCATCTGCATGTTTTTTCAAAACTTGCACCCGTTCGGGTTCCCCCGGTTCTCTCCGTTGTCCGTTCTGAGCCCAACCACACTCGCACGCGCCCGTGGCACCTCCGAAATATTAGCATGCGGTCTTGTTATGGTGTAGGTAGACCGCCTGTCAAGTTTCGTCGCATTCAGAGTCCGTTTGATAGCCCTACCGTTAAACATATGTCCGCCATATAGCCGGTATATTCATCGGACGTTTCGGTATCCGAAACCGTGTCGGGCCGCACTTCTCTTCTCTCCCCTCAGCCCAAGTCCTTTCTTCACAGCCCACCTAGGTCTGTCTAACCCCCCCTCTCGATCGGGTCCGTCGGATCGCGATCGGAGGCTCCGAAACGGAGCAAAACCCCTAACCCTAGCCTCCTTTTCTATATATATAGACGCCTCCCCTGCCATTTTTGGCCTCCTACCAACCCCCCTCCTCAATTCCCGCAGCCAGCTGCCGCTCCCTCCTCGTTTTCAGCGCCGGTGCACTCCCCCGCCGCCAAGTGTCGCCGCCCCGTTCGCTGCGCCGCCGCCTCCACCAACCACCGGGCGCCACTTGGCGTCTCCACGTCCTCCCCGCACCCTCCTCCGCCGCGGCCCGCGGAAGCACGCCGCAGGCCTGCCCGGACCAAACCCGGGCCGCGCCGGGCCCGTCCTCCGCCGTCGTGAGCCCGCGTGCCCCGAAGCTGCCCAGCTCGCCTTCCCCGCCACCTAGCGCCGCTCGCGCCTCCATCCGGCGACCGCCGCCGCCGGCAGGCCTCGCCGTCCGCCGCCCCGGCCTCCCGAGCGCCGCCGTCTCCGCCACCTCGCCAGGTCGTGCCTCCCTGTCGCCCTCTCCCTCTTGCTTCTCTCTCTCTCTCTCTACAAGTACTCCGCCGCCCCGTGAAGCTCGCCGCCGTGCCTCCACCGGCCGGATCCGCCGGATCCGACCCCTGTGCGCCTTCTCGGCCTCCCCGTGCTTGCCCTCGCCGGAGTTGCTCCCCGCCGGCGCTACCATGGCCTCGACCGCTCGGGATCGAGGAGACCGCCCGCGCCTCGACCCCCCTCCTCACGTGGGCCCCGCGTCCGGCCCAGTGACCCAGCCGACCCGATCCACCGCCCCGCCATCCTGGGCTTGGCCCATGGTGAGCCCAACACCATCCCATCTCTCCCCCTGCCTATCCGTCGGCCTGGGTGTATTATACTATATTGCGCTCATCTGTTTTTTTTCGGAAATACTGCCAAGTCCCTAAAAACTCATAATGTGTATGCATGTTTGACCCATCATAACTTTGTGCATGTGTGTTCGTTTTGTGTGTGTAATATATCAAAATGTTCATTGTGAGATGCTCTTCATTTTGTTCCATTGTGCCATTCTTGTTTGAGTCCATCTTGATGCTATAATCATCGTTGCAAGAGTGCTATATGATGTTAACCTGCTGAGACTGTTATAACTTGGTGATTTTTCTTTTTCATTGCATTTTGTGTGTGCATCCTATGAGCTTGATGTCTACATGTTTTAGGAGCATTGTTATGCCATATTTACAGTGGTGCCATCCATGTATTTTTGTGAGTTTTGTAGTGAGTGCATCGAGCTCAGGAAGTAGGGTACTTGCTGTTACTGTTTTTGCTAGTCTGAATCTGCTATATCATGATGGTATGTAAACTTGCTGATACAAGTCATTCTAGGCATAATCTGGAGATATTCACTAAGGATGTTTTGTTATACATGTCATTCTCTATCCATCCATGCCTCTGGTTGCATTTATAGCCTGCTGTAGCTTGTTGTAATCTTGCTCTCAAATTGCTAAATAATGTTGCTGTCGGCTTGTTAACATTAAGTTCAGTTTTGCCATGTGTTTTGCTAGTGATCCATGCACCCTATGAACTTTCTCTTGCCATTCTTAGCTTCACAAATATGTCATATTACTGTTGGTCACCTTGTCATGCTATGTATTGCTCCGTGGTGAGTGGTACAAGCTTACCAACATGCCTACTTATCGTTATTTCTGCCATGTCTGAATCTGTCATATCACTTGCCATGTTTGCATGGATGCTTCCATCTTTTCTGTTGATCTTTGGAATTAGTTCAGTAAGGGAGATTTGTTCTTTGTCTTTAGTATTAGCATTCCATGCCTTTGTTTGCCATGTTAAGTTCCTGTAACATGTTGTTTGATAGCTATAAACGTTGCAACCTGATGTTATTTCTGCCAAGTCTGTAAACTGTTATTATTTGCAACCTTGCCATGTCCTTTTGAGCATGTTATAGTGTTTTTTGGAGATAGCTCAGTGTTCATGTTTTGTCATACTTTACTTGTACTTCATTACCATGCCTTTTGTTTTCACGTTGAGATGCTGTAGCATATTGTTTTGATGCTTGCTAGATGCCTAGTTGCTGTTTTGGACAGCTTGTCCTTTAAACTTGTTTCATGTGTATGTGTTGAACTGTTGCTCCGTTTTGAGTGTGCTCTATATGAAACTTGCTTGATTTTGCATGAAGTTTCATATTATCATGTTGCATCCATGTTTTGAGAGTGTTGCTTGATGTTTGGATGCATTTTGCATCAATGCCATGTTTAACTTGTTTTGCTCATATCTTCTAGGCCGTAGCTCCGAACTAAATGAACTTTATATGTAACTTGACTAGAATATTG